TTATCAAAAATGAATATTGAATATTGAGTTTTATCAATATTCAATATGTTCCCAGCATCAATTAAAATGTTTCTATTTCTTTGACTTATTATTATTATGGAGAAGTATATTAATGTTTTCTCAAAATTAATCAAAATTTTCTCAAAATCATCTTCTCTTCTCTAAGCCCATCCTACTGTTGCATTGAGTTCAAGGACTCTTAATGTCCTACCTGGGCTGATTGGATAGAGTCTTAACATGATCTCCCTGGCTCCAGGCTCACCATCCTCCCCACCGCACAACAGGGGGCCTCCTCAACACAAGGGCATTATGTCATTCTCTTGCTTAAAATCTGTTGTTGGATCCGGTGATATATCTTCCTGTTGCATTGCCAAGGCCTTTTATTATTTGGCCAATTTGCTTTCTACTTCATGTGGAAAGAGGCCACACGGTCAAATGGAAAGCGCTCCAGATTGGAATCAGAGATAGATTTGAGTCCTAGCCCTGCGCTTACTAGTTATGTGACCTTAGGCAAGTTAGTTAAGTCTCTACTATTTCATCTGAAAAACAGGGCCAGAATTAAGTTGCAGTTTATGGTAGGGACTAATTAAGACAATGTACTATAAAGAGTGCAACCCAAGAAAGCACTCAAGAAATTATTGCTACTTTAATCTATCCCCTCCACATATCTTTTGTTCTGCCTTGCTGAGCAGCTTACAATTCTTGAACACATCATACTCTTTTTTTCTCTACTTGGGATGCTTCCCTTCCCTAGCACCCCCATCCCTAATGTTTGTTCTCTTAGCTAACTTGTGCACATCCTTAAAACTTAAAGCCAAAGTTTTTTTTCTTTGGGGAAGCCTTTCTTGACCTCCTTCTGGTAGTTTGTTGTTCTCTCATTATTGCCGCAGTAACATGTACACGTATCTTATCTTCATTGCTTTGTATCCTAGCACCCTGCTGGGATACACCATGCCATATAGCACGGTAAAGAGGAAGGGTCTGCAAAGCCACAGCAGAACTGACATCTCTCTAAAACACAGAGAGCTGGGCCGTGCTGCCTTTGTGTCTTCTCCAGCGGAATGGCCCGGGCACTTTTTCTCTCCCACACAACTGGGAGTAGCCAGGACCCCAGGAGGGTCTCCTGTCCTCACTCAGGAGTGGCAAAAGAGGAGGATGCTACATGGTGTCTACAGAATTATACTAGAATACTCCATCTTCCCAGCCCCTATGGACTTTAAGGAGGGCTAATATTCCTACAAGGTTGCCCTTAGATGATGGAGTCAGAAAGTTATTCTTTTTTATTGCAACCTTGCTGTGATCTGTAGGGATAGAGGTTATGATAGCAATGACATTATCTGGAATACTTTAAAAGAAATGATAAATGATGAAATAATAGACCAGAAGAAAAAAAAAAGCACAAAAAATATCTACCTCGTATAGAGGCTATCACTTCTCTTCTGACCAAGGAATGTGTTGTGTTTAATGGTCTTCTTTCCCCTTCCCCTTCCCCTCCTTCTTTTCTCTAGAACAGCTCCCCTCATTCAGACTCCTTGCCCCCAAACAGTCCTTTTCAACCTTCAGCTTCTGGCCAGTTAGTTTTCCCAGAGTTTGGTCAGCTGATTCAATCCAAGTCTTTGCTTTATCTTAGTGTTTGCAGTATATTATTATCTTAAACATAGTGAGGGAAAGTGGGGGCAGGCGCATGGGACCTCTCTGTACTATTTTTGCAACTTCATGTGAATCTATAATTATTTTAAAGTAAAAGGTTAAAAAAGAATTTCTTCCTCTTAGAGTTCTATGAGAAATCCCTCACCTTCCCGTCTTGTGCAATGGCATTGTTGTTAATCATTCATTTGATGGATAATGAGAGTCTGCTATTTGTCCTATGAGTGGGATGATGCACTGGAAAGAGCACTGAAACTATGAATCCAAAGACTTGAGACAAATTACTTCATAATCTGGGCATCTATAAAATGAGGATTTATACTTAAACTCTCAGTTCTATGATAATGCAAAGAAACAATATACAAATTACCAGGATTTGTTAAATAAACATCTCATGCTAAAAGTGGTTAAAGAATAAACATTTACTTATTGCATAGTATAACAAAGATAAAATTTTCAATGTTAAATACATTTCAAGATTATTATACTTAAAACGTTGTATAAATCCAAATTATTGTATTTAAAATATTATAGAGTCAAAACATGTAGTGAACTCAGATGCTTCCTACAGAACTGATGGTACTCTAGAGAAATGGTCTCTAAACATTTTTGGTCATGTACTTTGATTACAAAAAAGATGCACTATTGTCAATATACATATTAAATATTAGTAAAGTTTGATTTCTTTTTTTTTTTTAAAGATTTTATTTATTTGAGAGAGAGAGAATGAGAGAGAGAGCATGAGAGGGGGGAGGGTCAGAGGGAGAAGCAGACTCCCCGCCGAGCAGGGAGCCCGATGCGGGACTCAATCCTGGGACTCCAGGATCACGACCTGAGCCGAAGGCAGTCGCTTAACCAACGGAGCCACCCAGGCACCCTGATTTCTTAATTTAGATAAAAATAGAGATATTCTAAAAGCTTCTTCCCAACTGCTCTAGAGGTTAGATTTGTTACAGGAAATTTCCTCTTCTATATTTTGGGACTATACCTGTTGAATCCTCTGTTCTGATCATTCTTGCTATAATCACATCTTAACAAAAGTTCTCCATTAGCAATAGGATTTATGGTGGAAACTGGAGAAAGTCTATGCTAGGTCTTATTGTTTTTTATCATTTAGAAATCATCTAAGTACCTTTCAGAAGTCCTAAGGGAACTTCAGGACCTTTAAAAAGTATTTTAAAAGGTGTATATATATATATATATATATATATATATATTTTTTTTTTTTTTTTTAAAGATTTGATTTATTTATTTCACAGAGAGAGACACAGCGAGAGAGGGAACACAAGCAGGGGGCATGGGAGAGGGAGAAGCAGGCTTCCCGCAGAACAGGGAACCTGATGCAGGGCTCAATCCCAGGACCCTGGGATCATGACCTGAGCCAAAGGCAGATACTTAACGACTGAGCCACCCAGGTGCCCCAAAAGGTATTTTTAAGGTATTAAAGTTATTTTAAAAATACCTAAATCTTAAAATACTAATTTGTAAAGGAGTATTATACTTTTAGAGAAAGAATTACTATAGAAGTTGATTTGTAAATTATGCATTACATTCTGTATGAGAGTGGTTTTCTATAACTTTGCTCTTTAAATTGTGACTCTTAAAATGCCTTAAATACAAAATAGTCTGGATAAAGGAAAAAGGTGGCAGGAGAACTCGAGTGTTTGAATTAGAAACAGTTCCTGTCTAATGAACCGACTCTAAACTTGTTTAATGATGGATTTTAGCTTTGGTGGTGATCAGAGGAAAAGCCTTTTCCTGAACAGAAAAATTAAGTCAGTGGATTTTTTATGCAGACTCAGTATTATGCAGCTTTACCACAAGGAGAGGAAGGAGACAGCTGATCATGGAATAAGAAAAGGTGACTTAAAGCCTTTTTGGATTAGGCATCAACCGCTCTTAAGAGGTCGGTTTATCCAGACAGTCCAGCCCAGGAGAATTGGCACAAACAATCCAAAATGAGAGTAAACCAACCATGGATTAATGCTTATGTTTAGGTCTCTTAATGAAGTATGGAAGCATATTTGAGGAGCTAAAGGGCATGTAATCAGTGTAATTTGATTCCACATTTATTAAGCATTTTATGGTACAGAAATAAGGCATGATCTGTGCTCTCAAGAGTTTCACAATCTAGTGAGATATAAAAATCACAAATAGTAAAAGGTAGGTATGTTTAGTAATAACCCCACCTTCTCTCACTACCTTCCTTAGTCTGACCACCTTCTCCCTTAGATACTTTCAAAGGAGTTCCTTCTAATTAAACTTTTCAAATAAAAAACCCAAGCTGTCCTTTCAATTACGTTTATGTTACTTTTTATATTAAAAGGCCAAAGGGTAACTGTTTTAGGGGAAAAGCTTGTCTTAGGCAATGCCATGCATGTAAGACTCCTGCCCTGCTTATAACCCTCAAAGTCAAGTAAATGCAAGCCTCTTTCTGGGTTTTAATGGACTATCCTGTGATAATAGACATAAATGTCTGCCAACCACAGCAACTGCAATAAAAACACCTAGACATTCTGGAAGGATGTTTTCCCAATGAATGACAAAGGCCAGACCAAACAACACCGACGTGGTCACTGTGGGTTGTCATCTCAGTCTATCTGGCTGTGCTACTTTTTGGCAAGTCACTTAAACGTTGAACCTGTGTCCTCATTTAAAAACCAATGTAAAAGCATTCAGCTTACCTCATAGGAACAGCTAGTAACAGTAGTTGTGAAGCATTTTACCAAAGCCCACTCAGGTCAACGTTAAGTGTAGTAAAGTGGAAGAAATTATTGCACATTATAAAGCCGTGGTGCATTTTACTAAAACCTACCAAGGCCAACAGAAGTGCAGTGTAACACAAAAAATTATTAAATTAGTAAAGGGATAGCGCGGTTGTTCCAAAAGACCTTGGTCCCAAGGTAACTCAGGACAAATCACTCATTATTTCAACATTCGTATTAGGAGCGTATAGGACTTCGGCCCCACAGCAGTGAGGTGAAAAGCAGGGGGAAACCGTGTGAAGACCGGATCTGAGCTTCCTGATGGAGGGACCACCACAAGAATAAGCAGAGACAGGCGAGGGGACACGGTTGCCCACCGCACCATACACTCGCCTCACCCTTCCGAGTCAGGCATCTCCAAATTCTCAAGCCTCTGGGGCCCGGAATCCTGGAGAAAGTGGGGGTGTCCCACAGGACGGAGATGGGCCCAGCGGGCGAGGCGGGGCGCAGTCTGGGGCTCGCTCCGAGAAGAGGGGGAGTCGGCGGGCAAGGGGCGGGGGCGGCAGTGGGCAGCCGGGCGAGAGGAGGAGGGGCGAGGCGCCGTCGCCGGCCCCCTCCCCTCGAGCGCGCTCCCCTCCCTTCCCATCCCCGGCCGGGCACCCGAGCGCAACCCGCTGAGACCGGGCGGCTTCAGGGGGAGGCGCCAACTCGTCGCTGCGCCGGGCCCCCGACCGAGCAGTAACGGCGACCCAGAGGGCGGAGCGGATGCGGCTCGGGCCTGCGCCGAGGTAAGGGTACAGGATGGCGTAGGAAGGCAAGAGGGGACGCCGGACTCGAAGCCGGCCTCTCTCAGATTCCCCCGCAACGGGCCATTTCTCCCCGCCCTCTCAGTCCGAGCTCCGGGACGCAGCGACGGCTGGCGAGCAGCCCCCGGGGGTTACACCCCCGCCCAGGCCTAGGGCCGAGGCGTCGCCGCGCGTGCGCAAACCCGCTGGCGGGGGCTGGGCGCGCGACTGTGCGATTGTTTCCCCCCTCCCCCAAGGCCGCGGGCCCCGGCGGCGCTGCGCGTGCGCGAGCCTCCTGGCGGATGTGGTGCGTTGCACGAGGGTCGCGGCTCGCCTCGCCACCCCGGAGGCTTCCGCGCCTCCCGCATGCGAGGCAGGGCGTCGCCCCGGGTTGCGGGCGTGGCGCCTGCCTCAGAGTTTCTCTTTCTCTCTCCATTCTATGCTCCGCGTAGGCTGCTGCTGTTTTCATTTCGGCCGCCTCGACCCGAGGCTGGTGTCCTGAAAACCCACTCACCTAGCTCCCGGCCCCGAACCTGCTCGCTAGCTCAGTATGATGCCATCGACCTTGGGTCCTGCTGTCGAGGGACAGCACAGAAAGTTTGGCTAAGCTAGGTGAAGCTGCTGTGGAGGGATGGGAGGAATCGCCGTAAACCTTTAAGCAGGAGGTATTGCTCTGCTCAGCCCCGGAAATGGAGGTTTTCAGACGCTGAAAACTTTCCAAGTGCTCCGCCTTGGCTTGCGTTGGAAGGCGAGTTCAGAGCGAACTTTTTGTTTTTGTTCTTTGGGAAGTGACATAAAATGTCGGAGCAGTGCGAGTCCAGGACTGTCACAAAATGCATGTCATGGAGCTGCCTCCTACCGCTCTTGGCGACCTAGCCTTAGAGCTGAATGAACGTGGTAGAGTTCACAAACTGCTTTGGGACGACGCTCTTTCCCCCAGACTTAGAATGGCCGTCACTGTTTAATGTTTATTGAGCCTCCTGGCTTTGCACCCTTCTAGTACCAAGTTCAAACTTGGCGTTACATCTTCCTGCGCAGTGGTACTTAGTTCAAGTCAGTTTGGTGACTCCTGAGGCTACTTGGAGCGGTTTTTAACAATGTCATTACTGTGCTTTGTAATCTTCTGTGATGTGCTGATACAGACATTTGTGGGCTGGAATAGAAGCAGCACTTACTATCAGAAAATCTGAGTACTCTAGCTGAAAGGTAACCTCTATTTCCCGGGGCATTAGGCAGTATATATACATATACATATACATATACATATACATGTTATTAAGTAGCAGGTAAAGGCAATTGGAATGATACATTCTTGCACACCCCGCTTCCACCATGCTGGCCTCATTGGGCTTGCTGGGCTTACCAAGTGTTCCTACACCCTAGGGGCTAGACATTTGCTATTTCCTCTATGCTCAAAGTTCATTTTCCCCCTCCACCCATATATGTATGGCACCTACCTTAATCCAAGGCTCAAAACAATTGCCATCACTTCAGAGAGGTGACTCATGTCATTTAAAATAGCCACTGCTTTCTCTTTCCAACCTCTTACCCTGTTGTCTTTAGCTTTTTAGCACTTATCACTGTCTGATAATACGTATTTGTATGTGTATGCTCTGTCTCCCGCATATTCAGAGCACGGTAGATGTTTGTTAACTGTATAAATGAAACTGAAATCTGACTCCAGAAATATTTTGTTCTGAATTCTCAGTGTGGATTCACTCATTCATTCAATAAATATTGAGTGATTACTTTCCATCAGGTTCTGTTCAGGTATTTAGGATATGTCAGTGAAAAAGAGAGATTCCTTCCCTCTGGAGCTTACATTCTAGAAAAGAATGATTGACAGTAAACATATTTGTTTATCATTTAGAAAATTATAAGAGCTATGAAAAATGAAAAAGAAGAGCAGAGAAAGAGGCCTGAGAGTACAGGTGTGGGTTGCAATGGTTATGGTTGTGGTGGGTCTGAAGGATAAACTGAAGGTGATGTTCAAGACAGAGAACTAGGTTTTCAAATTATCTTTCTGGGAGAAAATGTTCCGTGCCATTCTCCACTATAAATTTGATGGGGGCCCACAGCATGACCATTGTGACAAATAAAACCTTATTTTGTAGTATATAGGTAAAATATATTTTTTTTCCAAATTGGGTTCAAATTATTCAGAATTTTACAGTTTAATCTCATACATCAAATGAAGAGACTGGGTTCTTAAGTGGAAGAGACTAACCAAATGAATACTACAGATGGGTTGAGAAAAAGTGTATATTTTCTGCATGTATTACTGTACTCTGCAATTGCTTCTTAATGTCTCTCTGACTGTGATTAGTGAATTTTTTTTTTTAAGATTTTATTTATTTGACAGAGAGAGAGAGAGTACAAGCAGGGGGAGCGGCACACAGAGGGAGAGGGAGAAGCAGGCTCAATCCCAGAACCCTGGGATCATAACCTGAGCTGAAGGCAGACGCTTAACCAACTGAGCCACCCAGGTGCCCCTTGAAGTTGTTTTCTAAGAGTGGTCACTTGCTTTTCTTTATTTGAAACTATGTTGAAAGTTCACCTGGTATGATGTCATGGGATAAGGTATTAAATTATTGCTGTTAGGGATTTCTGAATGAACCAGACAAGACTTAGAGAAAGAGGCTGATAGAGAGGAACAGTTTTAGAAAGTAAAGTGTGTCTTTAGGGCCCTTTACTTAAGTAGATTACAAACACTATGTTTAAATATCAAAACTATTAATCTGGTACTATAAATATAAGGTACCTATGGGGTTTGCCTAAGCCTTTAGGAGTTTGTCATATTTAATTTTGGTTTTTTATCACTTGGTTAAAGTGAAATTAAAATGCCCCTAAGATGCCACTACTTTTGAGGTTTACTGGAGTTGAATTAGTATAAATCAAAATTGACCAGACAAGAGAGATTTGAGACCAGGAGTGGAATTATCAGGGTAGCAGAATGACATCAAAGACTCCTGTTTGAAGCTGAAAATAGAGGACTACATGGGGATATTTACTTCAAAGGAGCAGATAGTTTGTGTCTCTGAAAGGGATATTTATAGTATCCTTCGGTGGAAGGCAGATATCCTTCGCACTTTCATTATCCTGAAGGAATATGTGTCTAGTTCACATGGTGATCCCATCTTAACAATATAAGAGTTTTTAGGAAATTTAAGGCATAATAGTTTTTTTCCAACATATATCTGACACTGAAGTGTGTGTGTTATGTGTCGTCAGGCTTGCTAATCTAACCTGAGCTAATATCTATTATGTATATCTCTCCTTGGAAGACATTTTGAGCTAACAAGTACCAGTGGATGACAGATAGTAAGTAAATCATAAATAGTGGTCACATTATAATATGTTCTGTATTACACTGAATGTTTATGATACTGAACAAAATGAATCCCAAATGGAAATGAGCCAAGGCTAAGAAAGCCTACCATGCTGAAGGAATGTTTATGTTGTGGGACAAAGATCTTTCACAATTAGGATTTTATTTCATAGGCATGTTAGGATTTTTTTTTTTTAATTGTACTAGATCTATAAGGACCTAAATTTCAAATGGATTTACAAATTTCTCAAGTACTAACTCATTTTAGCTAGCTTAACAACATAAAAACATTCGTATAGTTTATGTTGATAATTTTTCATATTTGAAAAAGGTACTTTTGCTGTGTGTATTTGAAAAGGCTAACTTTGATGAGCTCAGTAATCTCTTCAAACTAATACAAGTTTGCTTGGGACTGAAGATCTGCCTCATCTCTCTTGATGAAATTTGGAAACCTTTTTACGAACATAATTAAAATAGCAATGATGTTTCTGTGTTCTAAGTCAGTTTGATGCTTATCATAAACCTGGCAATATCATCTCCTTTGAGGTTGTACCTTTGTTTTAGTTGTGCTTTTAGTTTTTCAGTTTTGTCCATCCTGTTTATAATTGTGCCACATTAGTTAGCAGCTGTGTAGGTATTCTACTGTTATTTGTAGTAGGCGTATGACCTCTCATTCAAGTAGAGGTAAATTATAGCTATCATCCTTTTTCACAAGTGGTAATTGGGATCATGTTTTCTTATATTTTTGTCATTCATAACTTACAGATGACATACCATTTAATGGTTCAGCTAGCATATAGTTGGGAATCATCATTACCCCATTGACAGTTACTTGGTCTGGAGTTCATTAACACACTGGTGCTGCAAACTGTGTGGCATCCTAAAAGACATTAGTTTTCTTTAATGTCCTATTTCTTTGTTTATAAGAGCATCATCAACTGTATTGCCCAGATCAGAGAATTTGTTAAAAGCATTGAGTTCTATATTGCAAGAAAACTTTTTTATATATTATATTTTTCAAGCATAGTTTTAGAGTTGACCTCATATTATTAAGTTGAATTAATTATATATATTTATATGTAATAATGTATTTTTATATAATGTAATATAATAATACAATGTATAATATAATAAAATAATATTTACATATACTATATTTATATACAATAATATAATATGTATATAACACTGGGTTTTCTTTGCAGAAATTACTATTTTTTTTCCACTTCAGGGATTACTTTTGAAGAATGGTTATTAGCATTTAGAAGTTCCTGGTTAATTGCAAAATATCAGTTTCCATGGAAAATGCTTTGTTCTCATAGATATAGGGTGTCTAACTTATTAGATCTTAAGGCCCACAAGTGCTGTTGTGTTGGGGTAATGTTGACACAAGCCCCTGGGAGGTGGATATCTTTTTGCTCCACATTATTTTGTTTTCTCTTTTATGTAAATTTGCTTTCAGCTTAGTACCTACTGCAGGCACCAAATCAACATTTGTTGAATAAATTAGGCAAATGAATGTATGTCCTATAATCAGCTTAACTCTTTATTTGGGTCAGAGGTATTACCAAGTAATATGACATATTATCCTACTAGCAAACACACTGATTAACAACAATAATATGTAGAAGCTGCTTGTTATATACGTTGTGTAGGAAACTGAATTATTTGACTT